GGATGAGCACCGCAAATATGTGGACGCAGGGAATGCCATATTCTCTGCAAAAACAGACCGGCGAACGATAAGAAATAGTAAAATGAGAACACAGATTCATTGATGGCTTGTAACTATCATTGTTGTATACACCAGTAGCCGTGAAAGTCAATCTTTGTTTATGCGACTGTATTTGGGTCAAGTGTGTAACATAGCAGTTAAGACTCACCTGGTGTAGTTGCACGTGCAGACGGTCTTCTCTGGATTCTCGCGATCCACCGCCACTACACGTTCCTCCTTAGCTCCAGTTCTGCGGCTCACATGGAAGGAGTGTGGTCCAGTCTTTTCGACAGTGTACTGCGTGCCCATCTGACAGTTTGCCCGAATGATGGCAGCGGTTTTTTCTGGAAAGTCACCCGGCCCTAGACTTCCATAGAGCTCACGACCTTTTTGCATTGCGTCGGCTTGACGTTTGATAAATGCAAGCAACACCTGGGCTGGATTGCCATTCCGTAATCCGCGCATCGATGCATGGTGTGACTCCACGGGGTTTGATGTGTAATTCCCATATCGTGCCCCACCAAACTTGTACACAGCCCACTTTGAAGCCAAACCATCCTTCTCCAAGTATTCTCTCCCCCCTGGACACTCCTCCTCGATCTTCTCCATCATCCCTCGATGCACATCACGTGTCAATGCTGCAGCAGCGAGTTCAATCTTCCCGTCCAAGTCAGAGCCAAATTTGGAGTTGAAATTTCGCACCAAATGAGTTACACAAAACGCCTCAAGCATTCCCGGCAATACCCTGGAGGCAGCAGCCCTCCACGCCTTGCCGCGGTCGTGCATCAATGTGAATTTCGGGTTGTCGATCTCAGGTGCCGCTTTCTTCAATAGTTCCAAGAAATATCCACATGACTCAGCATTCTCTCCTTCCACCCATGCACTTCCCAGTCTCACCAACTTGTGCTCACAATCCACCATACATGCGTTGAGGGTATGACCACGCCACCTTCCCTTGTTGTGACAACCGTCAACAAAGATAATGGGAAAACAATTTCTGACACATTCCAAAGCGCCCGGATACACCAATCCCGCTCGATAGAACATGCTATCCTGCTGCATCATTGAAACAGCGCTAGTTGGGTTTTTCACATTGAATTCGGTCAGGATACTACCTATGTACTGGAAGCCAGCATCTCCAGCAAACGGGTCCTCACTCACAACAGCGTCAATTGAGTTGTCACATGTCGAATAGCAGCAGTCTTTTCCCAACCGCTCCTTCACGATTTTTTGGAGACCAAGAGGTCTAATGTCGCCCAGAGGAAGCAACTCACGCACAAGACCCTTAACCTCCCCTCCCCTAACCCGGTTTGGATGTGGCACGCACATGCTTGCATGGTGAAGAGTTGCATTCTTCACAATAAGACTGCCATCTCGAGGACCTGTCGCTTTGATCCTAAACGGGCAAAAACCGTCGAACGGCTTAGCCTCATCTTTGGGCCAGTCTTTGTCTTTCATGGAATCACAGCGCATCTCGAGACGGTCTGCCCTGTTTTGGAACCAGTACGTTCCAAACCTATCGCTGTCAACATGCTTCAAGATCTCGGTTCGGGCAACGCTCACAGATGAGAAGACTTTTCCCTCTTGAATGGTGACCTCCTGATTACGTTGGCCCAAAAAAGCACTGCCAGGAACCATGCAACGATCTGATGAGGTGCACCATGTTGTCAGATGAATGCGCCTCATAACATGAAATACCACAACGTCCTGAACCAGTTAAAAACTGATGTGAGATAGTGGGAGATCCATAAGCTCAGTACATGACACTGGAAACGAGAAAATCACCTTGACAATGAAGATCTGAACATTTCGAAACTGTTGGGTGCCTATGACACTGAATGGGAAAACGAGAGAACAGAACGGTAGGGCAGACGGAACAGCTGAACATTGGTAAGGAGGGGTAAGCATACTATAGACTAAATAAGTTATGTGCTTAGACATGGCCCATAAGTTAGCGCCGGGCGCTATCCACAAGTAGTGATTGAATAAAAAAATAAGGAGATTGAACAAATGAGAAAGGCCGCCCGTAAAAAGACCAGACATAAAAATAATACGCGACGAAAAAGGGCGGAGAGGGGAAAGACATTGTACAAAGACACGAAGTACTGTGGTGTCATGCATAAATATCGGTGGAGGAAAAAACAGAGACCCAAAAGTAGGGGGGGATTGAATGATTGAACAAAGAAGAGAAGCAAGGGCGGACGAAATGAGGCACGAAACACTGAGAAATTCTCAGGAGAGCGATCAGTAGATGTGCACAATGTGTGGAGCTCAAATTGATGGGATAGGGAAACCCCAGGATATGGTACAATTCAAGTATCACCTAAGAAATGGGGATGACGGTCGTCGGCAAAGCTGATAACCACGGGATCCATTCCGTCGTAGCCATTGATGCACATTAAATGCACTGCAAATAATTTACAGCGTTGCAAATTACACCGGCGTGCAATCAACTACAACTCATCGGGAGTTTCTGTCTGCAAACCCTAATCCGTACGTAAGCTTTGATTTGCATGAAGTGCTTGGTGTTGATGCTCGAAGTCTATGGCAGTTGGGAGTTGCCTTCAGTTGTGATGGAACGACTATCCTGACGGAAGTCGTCTCAGTTTCCAGGCTCGTAACGGACGTGATGCCAAGTTTTGGGCGCGAGAATCTGGAATTCTAGATTCGGTAACAGTGACATGCCGAGCCAGCCACATCGAGGTGACTGTTTACCTCGACAGGTCTAAACAGTGTTCAGCGAATGGTTTTTTGCCATGTGCACCAATGAGCAGCGGACTGCGTAGAAATCTTGCTAACTCTGCGTCAGAATCGACAAACAGCCCAAAACACTGCGCCAGAGGCGATAGATCTGCGTTCCGATCGGAAAGTTACAGTAACAATGCGCTCTCAACTCAAAACCCTATTTGCAGCGTTTTCGTAACTCTGCCCTTTGCAATCCTACGGTGGGCGCGCTTCGCTCGTCGACGAACGTGCAAATCAAATCTTTAATGACTCTTGTGAGCATTCTCGGCGAACTCCCAAAAAATGGGTCGTTACTAACGCAAAAAAAGGGAGAGCACGTAAAAAGGAAACGCCGAGGATGAGCATCTTACGTCGATCGTTCTCATTGGAGGGAAGCAGCCGGCCACGAGCTCCTTCGCTGTATCGCGGCCCGCAAGTTAAGACCAGGACGAGAAGGAACCCCAGTAGCATAATGTCTGTCTCGTGACGAATTTGACTATGAAAAGTAGTAGTGTTGAACTGTTGAGTAGGAGTGTCGAGTCTGTTCGGTTTGCACTGCCAATGTGGATTTACAACACGGAAAATATAGGCACAAGGACTTAGCTACGCTGCTGGGGGTTGTGAAGCGGATACTGACTGGTTCCAAATAAGCTCGAGTCGCCACCAGTAATCTGATCCTGTGCATAAATCACACACCATCCCGCCACGAAATATTGCAGAGGGGCGATAATGCAGGAATTCGAAATGGTTAGGGCGCAGTGCATAGTATGCAAACAAGTCTCAGTAGTGCAGGGATCGATTTGAAGGCTCGCGAAATGGGGCTGCAACACTGCTAATTGGTTACTTCATGACGGAGCAGGAGATCCAGTCACGCGTTGCCAATGCGACCACTTACGAAAAACTCACCATACTTCGTAGCTCGTCGCCATTTTCGTCGGGTGTCTGGTTGAGAAAGGGTTTCGCGAAGGCTCAGTCAAATGTAAAATGGTACTTTGCTGGAGAAAGTTTCGCTCAATTCGCAAGAACGGGTAACCTGTAACAGATCTAATGCTGGACCCCGGTTCCATAACATCGACCACGTCCTGAGATGATTTATTGTGGAGGTGCAACAATGCGATGTGCTTGCGAGGCGCAACACTCGCGGTACTGGCGAAACAGACGAAATGTGGGAAACGTAACAGACGTTTTCATTCAACTTAAAATAGAGGAAACTAATCAAACATCATGCACATACGTTTTTAAATTAATGGTCCAGTTCGCATCCATATTTTTTGGACCATATCTATTGGCTCTATCCTTTGTTTTCATTTTCATTGAGTTGATATGGCTCTGCACTGCAGGATGCCGCAGGCGACAGAAAGGCGAAACAAGGAGGGTAAGCTGGTGCTGCGGTTTCTATGCAATGCAACTAGCATTGCAGGCATCGCTGCCGTAAGAAAATCAACAACTTCTTCACATAAGTAGCGGCAATGCACGATACCGTCATACCCTGGATATACCCCCATGGGGGACAATAATAAAACAGGTTTTTTTAGGGGGGTGGGCTTATAATCGAGTAAATTTATAAGCGCCGGCGTTTATAAAACGACATATATATTTTATATATTTTTTAACACCAAGCTGTAGATCTCGTGCTTGCCTTTTTCAATCGAGTCGAAGTTACATGGGGTCGTCTGTGAAATTCTTGCGCGCGGGTTTAGGTACACCCACTCTGACAGCTCCTGACAGCTTCTGACAGCTTCTGACAGCTCCTGACTGCTCCTGCTGACTGGACCCGCATCCAGTGCAGGGTCCGAATGTGAAGGGAAGTGAATCTGCAACACATCCCCCTGCTAAAGTAAATATCGTTACAGTGTTTCGAACACATTTCAAATTTTTTAGTTTACGTGCGCTTATAATAAAACAAGTTTTTTCAGGGGGTGCGCTTATAATCTAGCAGCGGATATAAGCGCCATGCGCCAATTAAAAGCGCCAGGCGCTTATCCGAGGGTGGCGCTTATATCCGGGGTATGACGGGTACCACTCAATGCGAAATAGAAAGTATAGAACTCCCAAATTGCAGCTACCTTGTACCCGCCACAACAAAGATAGTAATGGTCAAATCTATAGAATAAAAGCATGTGGTCGTAAGTGATGGTGTTGAATGGTGGTAGCCCTGTATGGTGATGGTGGAAGTCTGAGATTGTTAGTGGTTGTGAGAGATGATGGTCGCAGCGGCGCTGCGGCAACGGTGTGGTGGCAGTGGTGCTGGTGGCTGCGACGGCGGTGGTGGTGGTGATGGTGGTTTTCAAGCAGCACCCCCGCTTTCGTCATTCTGCCCTGAATCTTCCCATGCTGCCTTGAACTTCCTCATACAGCTCCGACTTTCTTCATGCTGCCCGGACTCATGTACTGCCCGCCAACAACGAGGGGTCGGAGGCGCTTTTCTCGAATGAAGTCGCAGCTTCTGAAAGCTTTCTATCGTCCGTGATCCACAGATCATGCCAGGTCCGTCCACTTGAAGACTGTAAGGTTGTGATGGTTGAACAGAGGGAATCAGGCATGTGCAGTGGTGAGCATAGAACAATCCACATTGAACGTCTCCTCATCTTATCGTCCATGAGCCACAGATCATGCAATGCCAGGTCCGTCCACTTGAAGAACTGAAGGTTCGAGAGGAACAGAGTGCATGAGGAATGTGCAAGTGCAGTGGTGAGCATACAACAAGCCACATTAGGCACCTCCTCATCGTCCATGATCCACAGATCATGGCATACTATGACTGTCCATTTCATAGACTATGGGATGGCCATGCGGAAGGACATGGTCATTGCAACATGACATATGCGGTATGGCTGATGATGATGGTCTACCCATGACAAGCCACGCGAAAAGGCACACAGCGGACCATGACTTATGATTCATGAGTTGCGGAAATTTGTTCACATGGCTTACTCCACATTCACATAGCAAGACACGGAACGTTGTGAGCTGAGTGGACTGAGATGGAGTGATGTGAGATGGAGTGATGTGAGATGGAGTGATGTGAGATGGAGTGATGTGAGATGGAGTGTTGTAACGTCATGAACGGGAATCAAGGCGGACTGTTTGCAAATGTAAAGCCAATGATTAACCACCTCCCCTCCCTCCTCCCTACGTTCAGTTTAGACCGCTCCAGCTACTTTCTCCACTCCACGCACATTGACTTATGCGATTCCACTGACTGTGCCACTCCACCCACTCACTGTGCGACTTACCTATTGCTTTGCTACGAGTGATCAGATTCGGAAGCTGCACCTCTCTCGTCCTGATAAGGTCCTGTGCTTGCTGCAGCCAGACAGCTGCGCATAGAAGGGGGAGAGGATGGGGGGAAGGACGGGGAAGGGCGGGAGGAAAAGAATGGGAAGGATGGGAATTGAGGCGCCTCAATAGGCGGAGAAAAACCTGTGATTCACCTATGCTTGCTGCAGCCAGGCAGTAGAGGAAGGGGGAGGGGGGGACGCGCGCAGAAGAGCAGAGAACGGCGGGGAAGCGAAGGGAAGGGCGGGAAGGTCGTGGAAGGGCGGGAAGGTCGGGACGCCTCACCTGAGCTTGCTGAGCCAGACAGCTGTGCGCGGAGAGGAAGGGGAGGGGGGGACGCGCGAAGAAGGGTGGAGAAGGGCGGGGAAGGGCGACCAGACGTAAATAGCCCCACATAGGCTGCATGGGTTAAAATTCATGACTTAGTGCAACAAACTATCAACACCTTCCATTGGAACACGTAGGTTATACGGTACAAGATGATGTTTGGGTCAATCAACTGTGTCCTGCTGCACATTGAAGGTCATCCAAGGCCTTGCACCAAGTCTGATCATTAGGTGGTAGCGTCACTGAAGGATGCTGTTGGGGCGAAATATGCGAAATAGAGCGTTAAGTTCTTCCAAAGGGCAGCCATCTTGCGCCTGCCACAGAGAGATGGTCTCCACCGGGCTGGGGAGAGTCATATAGTGAGACAGAGATGGCTAGTGATGGCGATGGATGGTAGTCGTGGTGCTGTGGTAGGGCAGGCAAGGCTGATGAGATGAAGAAGTGGCGATCACATTGCAGCCGGGAGGCAAAAACACAATCACGACTGCAAAGCAGCCTGCAGTCAAGAAGGAAATAGGAACATTGCTCGATCGGCCAAATTCGTTCACACCACACAAAATTTCTCTCATACTGCCGCCCTTACATGTATCATATGGCCCTGACATGTCTCATACTGCCCCGACATGTCCCATTCCACCCTGACTTCTATACTGCTGGGCTTTCCCCACACCACCCTCATGCTATCCCATAGTACTCATACGGCCGGCCAATAGCTCATGGCTAATGCTCCTGCCACTGACCTGCTAACGACAGGCAGAGTGCAGATGCTAATTCACCAGATGCGCTTTGGGGAGGAGGGAAGGAGTGGGTGGTGCGGCTGCAAATGGCTTGATGATGGGGAGTGGCACCCATTCCCCAGCCTCAACCCCTCACGATGCACTGTCATGCTGAAGGTGCGAGTTGGTGGCAACGGGGTTGTGGGGTGCAGGGGAGGGAGGGAGGAACGAGCATGGGCAAGGGCGGGAGAGCGAGAGAGTGCAGACTGTGGCGCCCAGCCAGGATGTGATGGAAGAGGCGGGAAGGGGTGGGACACAAGAGACAATGGAATGGGGTGCCAATGGCAGCGGTGGCACGCAGGGTGGCAAATGAAAGCACATGCCTACACCAGTAGAGGCAGGTTCGATACACTGCAGTGCTGACCCCAGAGTATAGATGAATGAGTGCTACAAGGCAAATGGGCAAGGAGGGAGGGAGGAACGAGCATGGGCAAGGATAGGCAGATTGGAGCAGCGTGATGGGCGCAGCTGGCTGCACTATGTGCACCTGAGGAAGTAAAATGGCAATTTAAATGGGGATGGAGACGTTGAAGGGGAACGAGATGGGGGAGGCCCTGGGAATGGAGAAAGGGGTGGGGATGAGAAAGTGTAAGCGGAAGGGGATGGGGGGGGGGGGGGGAGAATGTTGGGGGAGTGATGACGGTTGCACTGTGCGCACCTGGAGGTGATCAGAAGCTGGGGCGGTGGGAAAGAGCGGTGAGAGAGAGCCAGTAAGGGATGGGAGGGAAGAAGGGGAGGAGGAATTGCCACCTTGGATAACTTGCTAGCACTGCCATAGGGAATTCAGGCACAGAAATTACAGGTGCAGGGAATCCAGGCATAGGGGATTCAGGCACAAAGGATTCAGGCAGAGAGAAGTCAGGGATAAGGACATTCAGGCATAGCGAATTCAGGGACAGTCAAGTCAAGCACAGTAAACCCAGGCACAGATATTTCAGGCATAGGGGTTTCAGGCACAGAGAATCCAGGAAACGACAAATTCAGGCACAGAGAATCCAGGAAACGACAAATTCAGGCCTAAGTTGCGGAAGACGCAAGACGCGTCTTGCGTCTAGCGTCTAGACGCAGCGTCTAGACGCTAGACGCAAGACGCACATTTAGACGCAAGACGCTTGGCCAAAAAAATTTCGGGCAGCCCGAAAAAAAAAATCCCCGCGCGCGAAATTGAATTTCGCCATTTCGACGCGAAATTCAATTTCGCGCCATTCAAACCCCTCCCCACCCATTTCGACCACATAAACCAGCCCCCCAAGCAAATTTGAATCCCCCCCAACCAAAATTGAACACATACCACACTTCACCGCATATTATCTAGAAAACCCAACCTCTATGGTTAACCACCAAGAGGTTGGGGAGCACAAATCCCTCATTTGTGCTCCCCAACCTTCATTTCTTTCAAATCTCTTTCGAAAACCCTTAGGGTTTACCTCTTTCCACCTCTTTCCTTAGGAGGAGGAGGATGAGTAGGAGGAGAGGTAGGAGGCGTAGTGATTGCAGAGAGATGTAGTAGTAGTAATGGTCTTCGAGGTTGCTACTACTAGAGAGACATGGAAACTTATCTATATATGATGATATGTGAACTTTTTTGTGAAGTCTAAAAATGGGGAAAAAAATATGGCACGGGGAAAAATGCACCCCATTGTGACATAGGTGCATGTTCCCCACCCTCCCCATCCCCCTTAGAACTTTTTTTGGTCTGCCCGAACAAGTTTTTTAGGCCTGCCCGGGTTTTCGTCTAATACTGCGTCTAATCCATGCTGCCTAGCGTCTAGCGTCTTAGACGCTGCGTCTAGACGGACGCGTCTAAGACGCTAGACGCGTCTTCCGCAACTTAGATTCAGGCACAGAGAATCCAGGAAACGGCAAATTCAGGCACAGAGAATCCAGGAAACGGCAAATTCAGGCACAGAGAATCCAGGGACAGTGGACTCAAGCACAGGAAATTCAAGCACACGGATTTCAGGCTATGAGAGGGTATTCAGCCACATGATGCTCAGGCACGGAGAATGTAGGCACAGGGGATTCAAGCACAGGGGATTCAAGCACAGGGGATTCAAGCACAGGGGATTCAAGCACAGGGGATTCAAGCACAGGGGATTCAAGCACAGGGGATTCAAGCACAGGGGATTCAAGCACAGGGGATTCAAGCACAGGGGATTCAAGCACAGGGGATTCAAGCACAGGGGATTCAAGCACAGGGGATTCAAGCACAGGGGATTCAAGCACAGGGGATTCAAGCACAGGGGATTCAAGCACAGGGGATTCAAGCACAGGGGATTCAAGCACAGGGGATTCAAGCACAGGGGATTCAAGCACAGGGGATTCAAGCACAGGGGATTCAAGCACAGGGGATTCAAGCACAGGGGATTCAAGCACAGGGGATTCAAGCACAGGGGATTCAAGCACAGGGGATTCAAGCACAGGGGATTCAAGCACAGGGGATTCAAGCACAGGGGATTCAAGCACAGGGGATTCAAGCACAGGGGATTCAAGCACAGGGGATTCAAGCACAGGGGATTCAAGCACAGGGGATTCAAGCACAGGGGATTCAAGCACAGGGGATTCAAGCACAGGGGATTCAAGCACAGGGGATTCAAGCACAGGGGATTCAAGCACAGGGGATTCAAGCACAGGGGATTCAAGCACAGGGGATTCAAGCACAGGGGATTCAAGCACAGGGGATTCAAGCACAGGGGATTCAAGCACAGGGGATTCAAGCACAGGGGATTCAAGCACAGGGGATTCAAGCACAGGGGATTCAAGCACAGGGGATTCAAGCACAGGGGATTCAAGCACAGGGGATTCAAGCACAGGGGATTCAAGCACAGGGGATTCAAGCACAGGGGATTCAAGCACAGGGGATTCAAGCACAGGGGATTCAAGCACAGGGGATTCGAGCACAGGGGATTCGAGCACAGGGGATTCAAGCACAGGGGATTCGAGCACAGGGGATTCGAGCACAGGGGATTCAAGCACAGGGGATTCAAGCACAGGGGATTCAAGCACAGGGGATTCAAGCACAGGGGATTCAAGCACAGGGGATTCAAGCACAGGGGATTCAAGCACAGGGGATTCAAGCACAGGGGATTCAAGCACAGGGGATTCAAGCACAGGGGATTCAAGCACAGGGGATTCAAGCACAGGGGATTCAAGCACAGGGGATTCAGGCACAGGGGATTCAAGCACAGGGGATTCAAGCACAGGGGATTCAAGCACAGGGGATTCAAGCACAGGGGATTCAAGCACAGGGGATTCAAGCACAGGGGATTCAAGCACAGGGGATTCAAGCACAGGGGATTCAAGCACAGGGGATTCAAGCACAGGGGATTCAAGCACAGGGGATTCAAGCACAGGGGATTCAAGCACAGGGGATTCAAGCACAGGGGATTCAAGCACAGGGGATTCAAGCACAGGGGATTCAAGCACAGGGGATTCAAGCACAGGGGATTCAAGCACAGGGGATTCGAGCACAGGGGATTCGAGCACAGGGGATTCGAGCACAGGGGATTCGAGCACAGGGGATTCGAGCACAGGGGATTCGAGCACAGGGGATTCGAGCACAGGGGATTCGAGCACAGGGGATTCGAGCACAGGGGATTCGAGCACAGGGGATTCGAGCACAGGGGATTCAAGCACAGGGGATTCAATCACAGGGGATTCAAGCACAGGGGATTCAAGCACAGGGGATTCAAGCACAGGGGATTCAAGCACAGGGGATTCAAGCACAGGGGATTCAAGCACAGGGGATTCAAGCACAGGGGATTCAAGCACAGGGGATTCAAGCACAGGGGATTCAAGCACAGGGGATTCAAGCACAGGGGATTCAAGCACAGGGGATTCAAGCACAGGGGATTCAAGCACAGGGGATTCAAGCACAGGGGATTCAAGCACAGGGGATTCAAGCACAGGGGATTCAAGCACAGGGGATTCAAGCACAGGGGATTCAAGCACAGGGGACTCAAGCACAGGGGACTCAAGCACAGGGGACTCAAGCACAGGGGACTCAAGCACAGGGGATTCAAGCACAGGGGATTCAAGCACAGGGGATTCAAGCACAGGGGATTCAAGCACAGGGGATTCAAGCACAGGGGATTCAAGCACAGGGGATTCAAGCACAGGGGATTCAAGCACAGGGGATTCAAGCACAGGGGATTCAAGCACAGGGGATTCAAGCACAGGGGATTCAAGCACAGGGGATTCAAGCACAGGGGATTCAAGCACAGGGGATTCAAGCACAGGGGACTCAAGCACAGGGGACTCAAGCACAGGGGATTCAAGCACAGGGGATTCAAGCACAGGGGATTCAAGCACAGGGGATTCAAGCACAGGGGATTCAAGCACAGGGGATTCAAGCACAGGGGATTCAAGCACAGGGGATTCAAGCACAGGGGATTCAAGCACAGGGGATTCAAGCACAGGGGATTCAAGCACAGGGGATTCAAGCACAGGGGATTCAAGCACAGGGGACTCAAGCACAGGGGATTCAAGCACAGGGGATTCAAGCACAGGGGATTCAAGCACAGGGGATTCAAGCACAGGGGATTCAAGCACAGGGGATTCAAGCACAGGGGATTCAAGCACAGGGGATTCAAGCACAGGGGATTCAAGCACAGGGGATTCAAGCACAGGGGATTCAAGCACAGGGGATTCAAGCACAGGGGATTCAAGCACAGGGGATTCAAGCACAGGGGATTCAAGCACAGGGGATTCAAGCACAGGGGATTCAAGCACAGGGGATTCAGGCACAGGGGATTCAAGCACAGGGGATTCAAGCACAGGGGATTCATGGATTTCACGCGCAGGGCATTCAGGTGGAGGGCATTTACCCTCCTGTGGGTCAACCCTGAACACAACCGAATCACCTGAGACTGGCCTCAGAATCTGTTGAGCGAGGTTGACTCAAACCTGCATAGGACAGGAGCGAGAGGACCGTTTGGTTTGGTTCGACCTAAGGTGCCGACCCACGATGAAACAACAGAGCTTTCACAGACATGGAAAGCTGGACAGCTAGGGCAGAAAAAGTGCATATTTCGCAGAGACCCTGTCCGGTTCGATAGGCAGATGCTATTGCTGAACTGGAAAATTTTGAACCTCGGTGCTGGTTCGACTCGACAGAGCTGGTTCAATTGAACTTGTGGACCAGTTCAACTCAATTTCGGTACTAGCTCAATCCTACCTGCGACTGACCTGAAACTGACCTGAGAGTGACCGGAGGCTGACTTGCGACTGAATTTGGGACTGAATTTGGGACTGAATTCAAGTCAAAAATTGGTGTCTGTCGTACTATGTATGTACAGGTTCTCCTATATTGCATTTACTCTATATAGCTGTGTATTTACAATGTAGGAGAACCTGTAGGTACATAGTTTGAGGGCCAAACAATCTTTGGGATGTTTGGGACTGAATCTAGGACTGACTTTGGGACTGAATCTGGGACTGACTTTGGGACTGAATTTGGGACTGACTTTGGGACTGAATCTGGGACTGACTTTGGGACTGAATTTGGGACTGACTTCGGGACTGACTTTGGGACTGAATCTGGGACTGACTTTGGGACTGAATCTGGGACTGACTTTGGGACTGAATTTGGGACTGACTTTGGGACTGAATCTGGGACTGACTTTGGGACTGAATTTGGGACTGACTTTGGGACTGAATTTGGGACTAACTTTGGGACTGACTTTGGGACCGACTTTGGGACTGACATTAAGACTGAATTTGGGACTGACTGAAGGAACTGCCTTGCACAGGCTTCTTGTGACCCGCAGGTTGCCTAATTATTCACTGTGCCCGCGCCCCCGGTGGAATCCTTACGTCCCAGCAGCGGCGCCACTGGCGGTGGTGCATCGAAGGGTGCAAGGCATGATTCCGGCGAGGCACCACATGGCGAGGCACGGCTTGACACGCACGGTGGTGTGCGATGGCCGTGGTGATGCCTGCTCGCACACATCGCACGGCCAGCCCGCAAATCGGCCTCCGTGGTTGTGACGGGGACGACTCGCGGGACGGGTCACGGCAAAGCCTGGCGGTAGGAAACTGGGGTCATGGAAGGGGTGGGAGAGGGGTAGGTAGGGGAGGGGTGAGGGAGGAGTCAGTGGAAGCACGAAAGGGAAAGGGAGGGAGCAGTGGGAGGGGAAGTGAGTAATAGGGAAGCGAGGGTTTCAAGGCAGGGGGAGTGGTTAGTAGAGGGGGAATAGGAAGGGGGTAATGAAGGGGAAGGGGGTAACGGGAGGGGGAGAGGGTAAGGGGATGGGGATGGGGTAAGGCGAGGGGGAGAGGGGAAAGGAGAGGAGAGGACGCAAAAGTGAAATTAAGGGTACGGCAAGCAGTAGTGGGTGAAGGAGTGGGAGGGGAAAAGTGAAAAGTGAGAGTGTAGACCTAAAGAGGATGAGGTGGTGCTTTGGCGAGTAGTGTGGCTGTGCGAGTGGAGTGGGTGCAGGAGGGCATGGGGACAACAAGCAGGAGCTGGGCTGGATTGGTCAGGGATGGGGGGAGGGTGGGGTGGGAAGTGGGAATTGGGCATGGTTGCGTGAAAAAGCAGTGTTGCAGGGTGCTGTGGACACTCCTACAAAACTCCCTCTGTCAGCCCCGCTGCCAGCAATTTCTACTTCATCCCCCCACCCTCCTCCTGCCCACCCTCCTGACATGAAGTAGTTTTCTACCAGGAACCGTGAGAGCTGGGTGGGTCACACCACGATGCTCATATCGAGCATCCCGCGGAACAGGAGGCTTGAGCATCAAGTGTAAAGGTGCAAGGCAACTGCGAAGCGCCAATCTAGGACATGGGATAAACCTCTATGGCTTCACATGCAAAGTACTGACCACAGTTGCTGTCATTCCAGGTTGGTCGAATTCATCGAATTCCGAGGCGGGAATGACCCACCCAGGATTTATTGACCTTTCAGGGTGGCTAAAGATAAGGTTTTAGTAAATGACGTCAAAAAGTATGAACTTTGCCTCATAAACGCGTAAGCATGTGAGATAAGCTTCACAATTTCTGCCATGGCAGTGTGCACGGGATGCTCTTGGGGTTGTTGATGGGTCACAGCTAAGCACTCACACCCTTTCGGTCATGCAAGTCCATTCGAAGCCAGGCCTCAAGAGCAGTAGGCGTGCGAATGCTGAAGTGGCATGCGTAAGCAACCATGCAAAGCTCTTAGATTCTGGCTGTCGCATCTCCATGTGCGCCGACGGCCTCTGCTATCTGCAGCCATGGGGAACGAGCAGAGAAGCGGGGATTAAGGACAGGACAAGGGGAAAACAAGGGCGGGGGGGAGAGGGGGGGGGGGCAAGGGCGGGGGACGGAGGGGAGAGGCGAGGATGAGGGAGAGAAAGTGGTTTCTTGAGTGGAGACGGGGAGGGCGGGGAGGCATTAGGTGCGTCAGTACCCACTGTGAGTAAAAATATTGTGCGGTGTGGATGTGCGAGGCACAAGAAACGTCAACTCGGCAACAGGCTGTGCCACATGCACCATGCAATGACTGTTTCTTCCAGAATCTGTCCGATTTAGCCCACGCCATCATCTTGCAACGTTTCATGCGCCATGCAATCAAGTCCCATAACCCCATCTGCTACTGGTCGACATCACTCATTCCGCATGGGCTACGAAACGTCTTGTTGTCGTCAAGCCAGCAGGGAATACCTGGTGAAACACGGACAGCTGCAGCTTACATCAGCATCAGCATTGCTCCGACCTGCACTCTTCCATTCACCGTCCCTGAGAGTATCAAAGTACGGATCCCTGGCATCTCTGGCGCCTGAGAGAAAAGACGCCTCGAAGAAAGGCCCGAACGCCTGTGCAGGCAGCTGATCGCCAGCATATCACCATCCGACCAAAGCCTGCGCAGGCAACAGCGACACTCAACAGAAGGCTTGCTACTGTAATGATGCCGTTCGGTTCATGAGCGAAATACAGGCGGGAATGCGATGGGTGAAAGTGCGAATCCCGTTCATCGAAATTGATCACAACCACAGCAAGGTGGATCGCGACGAACAGCAGCAGCGCCGACTCAAGGCACCGCAGAGGACGAGAGGCGGAAACAGGGGACTGAGAGTGCGAGAACGAACCAGGATTCAAAAACCGGGATTCAGGAAGACTTCCGCTGCTGCCTGCAAAGAAGCTGTGCGCACCATCCGCCTTCGCGCGCACCATCCGCCTTCGCGCGCACCATCCGCCATCGCTCGCACCATCCGCCTTCGCGCGCACTATCCGCTTGAAAATCCGCATTTCAGTTATTCCAGTCGCGCATCTAAAGCTGAAGCCGGGTTTCAAAAATTATATTTCAAACTCGCTCGAAGATGGAGGTTGATTTCAGTGCGGCTTCCGTTCGCCATCCCGTTTCGCGATGTGCCGCAGAGGCAGGGATGCTGCCGGTCTAGCCACGGCCGCGCTCATGATCGGCTCGGAATTTACTGATACGCGAAACAGCAATAGGAAATCCGTTTGAACTTAGTATCTCGTGACCAGGAAGAAAGAAAGTTAGACATTCGTCACGGGGAATATGTAAGTCTTTGTAGACAGATCGAAGAAGATGAGGGTCACTACCGACCTCATATCAACCATCACGATGAACAGGCGGCTTAAGCGTCGGCCCTTAGACGCGAGGCAACATCAAGATTTTGTACTTTCAGTCCCGTAAGCTTCGAGTCGCACGGAAGCGACAGTCTAGGAGACAGTAGGAGCCGAAAAGTATTGCTTTTTACCTATTCAAGCTGGCAAAGGTTTAGCCGCCATAGCATGGAAGGCATTGGCGAGCTGGCCAGAACTTCGTTCTTGATGCTGTAACAAACAAACCGCAACCAGGTCAGGCCAGACTGGTTCGGTTTCCAGACTGGTTGGTGTGGTGGGGAATGGTTGCGAAGAGCACTTCGTCAGATAGGGTTCGGTTTCGCCAAGGCCATCGCACTACATCAGCAATCCCTCCCAAGCACCCTCACATCCCCGCACACACCTGGGCTGTTCGCCAGGCTCGCCTCGATCCCTTCCCAGCTTTCGTGTGTCCGCGCGGCGGGTTCGGGGGGGCGGAAGTTGTGGTTGCGGATTGCTGGCGGAAGGCTAGATGAGGGGGAATCACGCACGCGCAATCCCAAGCCTCGTCTTCCCCTGGCTTCTCTTGGAGCTCATGGCATGGTTTCCCTTGGTCCGGTGCGCTGAAACGTGTCTGAACACAAAACCCAGGAAACGAGATTCAGCTTTGGTGCTCTTTCCTAGTGGCTCTCATGCCTTAGTCGCTTCATTTACGTCATAGTCTTTGCTTCATCCCAACAGCCTAGGAATTGCGACGCGGATCGCCTGCATGCTAAATCCAGAATAGGTCACGGAAAGCGAAATGCGAATCTCGTCCTGGTTCACCAATCTCGTTCTGGATTGTATTCAAGGAAATGCCACAGTTCCTCCCAGGTTCCTATTGCGCCATTCCTGCATCACTTCTCGTACCGAGTGTCGTTTTTGGGACGTAAGTTCACGTGAGAAATTTTCTTTTTCCACGTGAGTCTTTTAAATCCCACATCTTTACTTTTCCTGTTCCTTAGCCCAGTTCTTATTTTTAGAGTCATAGGATGGAGCCTACGAACATAAATAGTCTGCCAGACGACATTCTCTTTGCGATCTTGAGGCGATCCTTCAAACAATCCTCTTACATAGATAGCTTGTGGACGCCCAGTTACATTTGGACACCTATAGATTATGGGTCTAGTAGAGCATGTCTGATAGTTGAGACGCCCGTACTAGCCCCTCCTCCAGACTCAAACGTGGCTCGGAATCTCCTGATCGCGTCAGTCTGCAGTCGATGGCGTCGTCTGGCGAAGCGTCACGTGACGACGCTGCTCGTCAAAGAGGACCTCCTCGTGTCCCTTGAACATCTCTCAGCCGCAGTCGCGTGCTTCCCCAACCTCACCCATCTGCATCTCAGCGACAACAGCGCCGAGCCGCTCGACGACGCCTTCCTTGCTCACCTCGCTGCGTCATGCCCGAAGCTGACTCGCCTCCACGTAGGGAGGAGCGTTGCATGGCCACTAAAGAAGGGCGACGTTTACCCAGTCAAGGAGTATCGCAGGACGGAGGGGCATTCAATAACCACGAATGGCTTGGATTGCTTCATCCTGAAGCTCTCTAAGTTGGAGCAGCTTTCTCTCTTCTGCCTCCACCAAGCAACGTTGCTACCATACTCCTTCTTCCAGTTGAGACATCTCCACACCGTTGTTGTCAATAACGCAATGGAGTTGGAGAATCCGGGTTTCACAAACCTTACAGCTCTTACCACCCTCTATGTCACCTCTCCCTGGAATTTTCAACATCTGTCCACCCTCCTTCACCTCCCGCGACTCACCCAACTTTCCACCTTCGCCTCTCACCAGAACCATCAACCAGCAGATGCTGCAAGGGTGGCACTGCCGTCCTGCCTGAAATCGCTCCAATTTTTTATCTCTTGTCCCGAATTCGGCACCATCTTCCCACCAGCCTCGCCCTTGACGGGGCTAGAGGAGCTGCTCATCACCAAGTGCAATGAGCTGCAGAGCCTTCCTAATCTCTTTGGAGAGTTGCTGCCGTGCCTTCGCAAACTGACTATTCGCCAGTGTTATCACTTGGAAACCCTGCCTGACAGTATCACTTCTCTGAGCCATTTGGAAACCCTCATCCTAAGTTTCTCTAACGCATTTACCTTACCGGACAACTTTGGTCAGCTGCCTACCCTCAAATCGCTGGTGCTGGAAGCAATGGGTTTAACCAGTCTCCCTCCTTCCTTCTGCCATCTCACGACTCTTGAGGCACTCTATTTGGTGGATTGCTTTGAACTTTGGGAGCTTCCAGAAGGGTTTTGTCGCCTCACGGCTCTCAAGGCGCTCTGCATAACTGGCGCAGAGAGATTGCAGTTACCAGAGGACGATGGGGCCTATGCAATTTTGGAGGATCACAGGTTGTATGGTTCCGCAGATTTCCTCCCGGATTCCATCGCCCAGCTGCCTTCCTTGACAAGCCTTGAACTGGATTGTTGCTACCCAGTTTGGCTTCCCAGGAGAATTCGCCCTAGCTCACTGCTGCAGCTTACTGGACTTAAGAGAGTGAAGATCACCGGGTGCAGGTCACTCTCAGAAGTACCCGCAAGTCTAGACACGCTTGTGGGGCTTAAGAGCTTCGAGCTGACGGATTGTGAGGAGTTGGATAATCTCCCTGCTGGTCTGCCCCCCTCTCTTGAGACCCTCTGCTTGGGGGCCTTCAAGGAAGGCTCTTCCCATGTGGTGGACATCTCGCAGCTGTCGCAGCTGAGGGTGCTGAAGCTGAACTGTGTTGGGGTGCAAGGTGGGCCTGCAGTGAGCAGCAGATTATTGTGTCTGCAGCAGCTGGAGCAGCTGGAGATGCGCTTGGCAGGCAACAGTCAGCAGCTTCCACTCCCACCAGCTTTTCTCCCTCGCCTGCGCAGCTTGTTGATAGCGGTGCCAGGAATCCGCAGACTTTGGGAAAACCTGGCTGCAGCGATGCCGGAGCTGCGGCAGCTGGAGCTTCTTTCCTGGTCACGAAAGGAGCTGCCAAGAAGCATACTGGAGCATACCTCGCTGACGTCATTGACAATCAACGCACCTCGGCTGGTGGCGCTACCTCAGGGCATGAGCCGCTTGTCTCAGCTGCGCAAACTGGAGCTGATTTGCTGCAACGCCATGCAGCACCTCCCAGAGCGTCTCACCCAGCTGCGCCAGCTGATACTGCGCGAAACCTCCATCCGCTCCCTTCCTGCGAATTTCGTGCAGCTGATTCCTGACTCCACTGGTGAAGATGATTAGAAAAGCCCGAGTGCGCTGGTTGCCTTCATCTGGGGATTTTACTGTTGCCTGCAGTTGAAGGTGCTGCTGCCATTGAGAGGAGGATGATCCCCTGCTCTGAACCCGCTGCGTGCAGTGTCTCTGTGCTGGCTGGTTTGGCATTGCAAAGGTGTCTTGGAAGCCTGCCCCATGCCGGTGGAGGTTGTGTTACTGGTGTGAAGTGGATGGGTGGGAAGGTGGTGTGACGGGGATGAGGAGATGAGAAGGAGACAGGAAAGAGATGTGAAGGAGATGGGAAGGAGACAGGAAGGAGATGTGAAGGAGATGGGAAGGAGATGTGAAAGAGATGGGAAGAAGATGGGAAGGAGATGGGAAGGAGATGGGAAGGAGATGGGAAGGAGATGTGAAAGAGATGGGAAGGAGATATGAAGGAGATGTGAAGGAGATGGAAAGGAGATGTGAAGGAGATGGGAAGAAGATGTGAAGGAGATGGGAAGGAGATGGGAAGGAGACAGGAAGGAGATATACCTGTGCAACGAGCCGAGCACGAGTAATGCTCGACTCGTCCCTAGCCATGCTCGGCCGAGTACGAGCCCGAGTCGAGTAATACTCGACCGAGCAATTTTCCCCCAAACAGATACTCGTTACTCGCCTTCTTTAGGGAAACTCGGGCGAGCAATTTGAAAAACTCGTCCGAGTACGAGTAATGCTCGGCCATGCCCCCTATAGGGGCATAGAACGACTTTGTACATAACGCCTAGTGAAGTCCATGGTACCACGTAGTATTTGGGTTTCCAGGGCCGCCCAGGTAAACCCAAGGTGGTCCATGGTGGCCTAGGGAAGCCCAGGAAAGCCCTGGCCTGGGTTGCCCCTGGGTACCCTTGGGCTGCCTCATTGTGGGGCCCACACCATCACTTCGGCTGTTCTTCATCCATCTCCACCCCTACGGCATCCGCCTCCGCCAAATCTAGCAGTTTCGCCGCCGCCTTCCCCAACTTGCACCCCGCCTTCTCCAACTTCCCCAACTACACCATCCCCACCCAACGAGCTTAAAATGCTCGGCGAGTTCCCTAAATGCTCGCCTAAAAGCAAGCGAGTACTCGTCGAGCAAAAAAAACTCGGCGAGTAATACTCGGCTCGACTCGGCCGAGTAAATTTTACAAAAAAACAAAACTCGTTACTCGCACCCAAACGAGTAACTCGGCCGAGTCCGAGCGAGTAACTCGCCTAATTGCTCAGGTATAGAAGGAGATGTGAAGGAGATGGGAAGGAGATGGGAAGGAGATGGGAAGGAGATGGGAAGGGGATGTGAAGGAGATGGGAAGGAGATGGGAAGGAGATGGGAAGAAGATGGGAAGGAGATGGGAAGGAGGTGGGAAGGAGATGTGAATGAGCAGTGAAGGAGATGGGAAGGAGATGGGAAGGAGATGGGAAGGAGATGTGAAGGAGGTGGAAAGGAGATGGGAAGGAGATGGGAAGGAGATGAGAAGGAGATGTGAAGGAGATGTGAAGGAGACGTGAAGGACATGGGGGGGATGTTGGGAACGGGGAGGAGGTGCAGTGGGGTGTGCAGCCGAATGATGCTCTCATACATGGACATGTTTTCTGAAGGGGGGTGCAGATGCGAATTATAGCGCGCTAAGGATTATGAGGGGGGAAGGAGGTACTATGGCAGGTGGAAAGAGGGGAGTGGGAGGCGGAGGAGGAGAAGCAGGTGTGAGTGACGGTAGTGAAGCTGGTGGCAGGGCAGTGAAGCTGGTGGCAGGGCAGTGAAACTGTTGGCAGGGCAGTGAAGCTGGTGGCAGGGCAGTGAAGCTGGTGGCAGGGCAGTGAAGCTGGTGGCAGGGCAGTGAAGCTGGTGGCAGGGCAGTGAAGCTGGTGGCAGGGCAGTGAAGCTGGTGGCAGGGCAGTGAAGCTGGTGGCAGGGCAGTGAAGCTGGTGGCAGGGCAGTGAAGCTGGTGGCAGGGCAGTGAAGCTGGTGGCAGGGCAGTGAAGCTGGTGGCAGGGCAGTGAAGCTGGTGGCAGGGCAGTGAAGCTGGTGGCAGGGCAGTGAAGCTGGTGGCAGGGCAGTGAAGCTGGTGGCAGGGCAGTGAAGCTGGTGGCAGGGCAGTGAAGCTGGTGGCAGGGCAGTGAAGCTGGTGGCAGGGCAGTGAAGCTGGTGGCAGGGCAGTGAAGCTGGTGGCAGGGCAGTGAAGCTGGTGGCAGGGCAGTGAAGCTGGTGGCAGGGCAGTGAAGCTGGTGGCAGGGCAGTGAAGCTGGTGGCAGGGCAGTGAAGCTGGTGGCAGGGCAGTGAAGCTGGTGGCAGGGCAGTGAAGCTGGTGGCAGGGCAGTGAAGCTGGTGGCAGGGCAGTGAAGCTGGTGGCAGGGCAGTGAAGCTGGTGGCAGGGCAGTGAAGCTGGTGGCAGGGCAGTGAAGCTGGTGGCAGGGCAGTGAAGCTGGTGGCAGGGCAGGGCAAGGTATGCATTCTATCCTGATGTTCACAGAAATAGTCATTCTGAGTACATTTTGAGAGAAGATTTTCTGGATATGTGCTCTCATAGACACACTCCATTAAGATGGTTCCTGAGGTACCTATATTGAAATATGTCAGAATGAGAGTAGGAAGAAACAAGAATGAAGAAAGGAGGGGTTTCACTAGCAGCAGTTGGGGTACATATAGCAAACCCTAACTGGGTTGTACTCGCTATAGAGCACCCCACTACAGGCTAGATAATAACATTCTGACACACCCCCATAGCCAAAGTGGGGTGTAATCAGCACAATGAGCAGACATAGTAATAGTTCACAATTATAAGCAAAGCTAGAGGCGATTGTCAAATGTTATAGCCCTTAGTGGGTCATACTATATGGGGTACAAACAGATAGGGTTAGGTACTTGTACCCCAACTCAATCAATGCAATTCATTCCGCTGTTCTCAGTTACTAAGATGGTATCAGCAGTAGGTTCGTTGTTCCTAGGCCTTAGTCACCTCCGTTCCTAGTCCTATGCCGTCCCTAGCCAGCGCCCTCGCCCACGACCTAGCTACCGCCCTAGACAACGCCCTAGCCAGCGCTCTAGGCTCTCCCCCCCTCTCCCCAGCAGGCCCGCTAGCGCCTTAGCCAGCAGGCCCGCCAGCGCGCCACGCCAGCGCGCACGCCAGCGCGCACGCCAGCGCGCCACGCCAGCGCGCACGCCAGCGCGCCACGCCAGCGCGCACGCCAGCGCGCCACGCCAGCGCGCACGCCAGCGCGCCACGCCAGCGCGCACGCCAGCGCGCACGCCAGTGCGCAACGCCAGCGCGCATGCCAGCGCGCCACGCCAGCGCGCCACGCCAGCGCGCACGCCAGCGCGCCACGCCAGCGCGCACGCCAGCGCGCCACGCCAGCGCGCCACGCCAGCGCGCCACGCCAGCGCGCCACGCCAGCGCGCCACGCCAGCGCGCCACGCCAGCGCGCCGCGTCGCCGCGCCGCCCGCTAGCCAGCGCGCCGCGTCGCCCACCGGCCAGCGCGCCGCGCCGCCCACCGGCCAGCGCGCCGTGCTGCCCCACTGTGCGTCTCTTACACTGCCTCCTCGCCTCCTTGTCTGCGCGCCTGCCTACGTGCCACTGACTGTCTCACCCTCCTGCGGCTGGTAGCCGCGCTCTCTCGTTTTTTTTTTTCGCCCCTTATGGCGACCACTCGAGTACTTCGATTTGACCCTGAGGGGAGACCGATTGATTTTAGTACGTGGCTTACGCAGGCGCAGCGCCACCTTAAGAGCCAGCGGCAGGATGGCGTGCACCTGTTTGCACAAGCATCCGGTACTCAGACCGCCCCTCCTCAGCCTAGGCCGCTGCCCACCACCCCGTCGCCTACTCCTGAGCAGGAGGCCGAGTACCAGCGCCAGTTTCTTGCTCGCGACGTGTGGGAGTCTCGTGACGCCGCTGCCTGCCTCGCCCTGACCGACCTTCTCCCACCGACCGAGGCAGTCCACTTCACTCAGGTCGAGTCCGCTGCAGATCTGTATAAGGCTATTGTTGCTCGCTACTCCACTCCCTCCTCTGCCTCACTCAGTCGCCTCCTCGTCCCCTTTATCTACCCTGACCTCGCCTCCTTTGAGACTGTCTCTGACCTCACTGCCCACCTGCGCTCCCTTGACACTCGCTTTCGTGCTGCTTGCACTGAGGACCAGCTTGCCCTTGCCCCGCCCCCTATGTGGCTCACCATTCACTGGCTAGTCACTCGCCTCCCTGACCGCCTAGCCACAGCCCGCGACGCGCTTCTTCTGAAGCATCCCACTGAGCTTACCATCGATCTTCTTGAGACCGCTCTCTCGAAGATCGAGAGTAACCTCCTCGCAGTTGCCTCTGCCTCCTCAGCACCTCCTCCTCGTCTTTTTGAGGGGTGTGCGGTACCACAGCTTCCCACCTTCACTGCCTCCCTTGCCATCCCCGCGTCTTCTGCCTCTGAGGAGACGGCGGCTGTTTCTGTCTCTGGCGGACAGAAACGTGGCAAGGCTAGCAAGAAGGGAGGGAAGGGCGGGGGTACTGGGGGTGATGTGGGTAGTGGTCGCGGCGGTGGGGCGGGTGGTGGGAGTGGTAGTGGGGGTGGCTCGGGCCCTGACGGTCCTCCTCTCGACGGTGGAGTTATCACTGGTGGTGGGGGGTTCCAGCAGCAGCAGCAGCCGGCTTCTCAGCAGCTGCCACAGCTTGGACAGCAGCAGCAGCAGGGACCGCAGCAGCAGCGACAGGGCCAGCAGCAGCGCCCACCGCAGCAGCAGCCTCAGCAGTGGGGGCCTCCGCAGCAGTGGGGCCCTCAGCAGCAGTGGAGGTCTGTGGGTCCCCCGAGCACTGGGCGCAGTGCCCCCCCCTCCAGTCGGGGACCTCGCTCGGCCGGCCGCGACGTTGGTCCCTGTGAGTACTGGATCCTTACGGGTCCTCGACGGGACTCGTACTGTGGCCGCCCCGACCACTCTGCTGCACGCTGCTTCAGTCGTCTCGACGACCTCTACCGTTTGCACCACGGCCCCTCTGCTCCCCCGCCGCCACGCTGGGGGACGCTTCTTGCTCGTGGCATTGCTGTTTTTGATATGACTATGGATGATGCTAGGTCTTATGCCATGTATGCTGATGTTGACTATAGTGCTCCTGGATCCGTTTACTTGCCTGTCCCTAGCTTAGGTTCTCTGCCTGTTGCTAGTGTAGGATCTTGTTTAGCTACTAGTACATGTCCTCCCCCGGCGGGAGCGTCTCTCTCCTTCACGCTGGACTCAGGAGCGTCGCACTGCTTCTTCCGCGACCGCACGACTCTCTCTCCACTACCGGCGCCAGTCTCTGTCGCCCTGGCCGATCCCACTTCGGGACCGGTCATTGCGACTCACGCCACTACACTCCCGTGCCCAGCTGCCCCTTCCGGTTCCCTGGCTGGCCTCTGGCGAAGAAGTCTGAGGTGACTTCTACGCTGATCCGGTGGCTGCTCGCCACCGAGAGTACTCGCCGTCGTCGTGTCAGTTGTCTCCACTCCGACCGTGGGGGTGAGTTTCGCTCCGGCGTTCTCGCCAGATTCTGTGCTGAGCAGGGCATCACCCAGTCCTGGACTCTTCCAGACTCTCCACAGCAGAATGGGGTTGCTGAGCGCCGCTTAGGCCTGGTCATGGAGATTGCCCGCACCTCCATGATCCACGCCCGCGCGCCCCATTTTCTGTGGCCCTACGCGGCTCGGTACGCCGCTCACCAGTTGAACCTCTGGCCTCGCGTCTCTCGGCCAGGGGCTTCACCGACCAGTCTTTGGACAGGGTCCCCTGGTGTTGCGTCGAGGTTTCGTGTCTGGGGCACCTTGGCTCTTGTCCGCGACACCTCTGCGGACAAGATCTCGCCTCGTGCCGTCCCCTGTGTCTTCCTTGGTTTCCCAGAGGACTCCTCTGACTTCACCTTTTACCACCCTCCCTCCCACCGGTTCTTTGACTCTCGTGACGTCCGTTTCGACAATTCTGTCCCCTACTACGTCCGGTACCCCTGTCGAGGTCTCCCGGTTCCCCCCCCCCCCCCCCCCCCCCTCTTCCTGGCTCCACCTCCTCCTCCTCCCGCCCCTGCTCCTCCGGTACCCCCCCCTGGTCCTGCTCCGTCTGGTGTGTCCCACGCTACTCCCCCCCCCTCGGTACCCCCCCAGGTCTCTCCTCCTTCCCCACAGTCGTCCTCACAGCCTCCGCAGCAGCCGTCAGCGCTTCCTTTACCGGCCACTGCGGACTCTGAGGGTGTTGGTGCTCGGGGTGAGGGCTCTGGCGGTGCTCGCTCTGGGGGTGCTGGCGTTGGAGCTGTTCGTGCACCTACAGGAGCCGCCCGTTCTGGGGGTGTTGGCGTTGGCGCTGAGCGTGCACCTGCCGCGGCTGCCCGTTCCGAGGGTGCTGGAGCTGGTGGTGGTGCTGGAGCTGGTGGTGTTTCTGGAGCTGGAGAGTCTGAGGCTGGTGCTGGTGCCACTGGAGGCACCCCGACTGGGGGTGCGGGTCCACCTCCTACAGGTGCTAGTCGTGCTGCCGCAGGGGGTACACGCTCTGGGGGTTCTCAGCCGGGTGCTGTCGAGGGCGGAGCCGGTTCTTCTTCTTCGTCTCCTGACACCACTCCTCCTCCTCACCCCTACCTGACTCGACACCAGACCCGTCTTCGTCTTGAGCGTGAGGAGCAGCAGCGTTTGGAGCGTGAGAGGTTGGAGGTTCAGCAGCGGGTGGAGCGTGAGAGGCTGGAGTTGCAGCGGGAGCAGCAGCAGCAGCAGCAGCAGCAGCAGCAGCAACCGCCGCAGCAGCCGGAGTAGCCTCCGGCCTCTGTTACTGGCCTTCGGGCCCTTGGTCTCCCCTCCTCCTCTCCTCCTGTGTTCGGTCCGACGTTTCCTCCTCCGGACTCAGCTCCGGCTGTGTTCCCTCGTTCTCAGTCTCCTCCGTCTCCCGCTCCGTCTCCCACTCCTCTCTCCCACACTTGGGCCTCTCGTCCTCCTCGTGCTCGTCCCTCGTCACCTGTCCGTGACCTTCGTACCGTGTTGTTTCGTCCTAGTCCTCCTCGTTCTCCTCCGTCTGTTCTTCCTCGTCCTCCTGAGTCGTCCCTCACTGCCTCCCTGTCCACTCCGGTCACTGACTACTACCGCACGTACCGCCCCACTCTCTCTCGTGTTCTCGCCTCTCTTGTTACAGACCCTCGTGCCTCTCCTTCCTCCGTCGCGGTCCTCACTGCCGCTGTCACAGACTTTACTGCTACGCGTCGCCTTGACTACGCCACTCGCGTTGTGGCGGCTCCTCCTGTCCGTCCTCTGTCCGCCGGGGGTGAGTCTGCCCTTGGCTGTGCCGTCCTAGAGGATAGACAGTTTGAGCTAGAGTTCCTGGCAGCCGCTTCACCTCATCTCTGTGCCATGCTGCTCGCTCCTGAGGGAGACCCCGACGCTCCTGACATACCTACTCCTCGCACTTACGCTGAGGCAGTGTCAGGGCCTTGGGCCTCTCAGTGGAGAGCTGCCATGGATGCAGAGATGGCCTCCTACAGGTCCACAGGCACTTACGTTGACGAGGTTCCCCCCCCAGGGGCGAACATTGTTGACGGCATGTGGATCTTCAAGGTGAAGCGGCCGCCGGGATCTCCTCCAGTCTTCAAGGCACGCTACGTGGCTAGAGGTTTCAGTCAGCGTGAGGGAGTTGACTTCTTTCAGACCTTTGCGCCCACCCCAAAGATGACCACTCTTCGGGTGTTACTGCACGTAGCAGCGCAGAGAGACTACGAGCTACACTCTCTCGACTTCTCCACTGCCTTCTTGCAGGGCAGCCTACACGAGGAGATCTGGCTGCGTCGTCCTCCGGGCTTCACTGGCACTTTCCCGCCTGGGACCCAGTGGAGCCTCAGACGACCGGTCTACGGTCTCCGCCAGGCACCCCGTGAGTGGCACGACACTCTCCGCTCTACTCTGTCCGACCTTGGGTTTGAGCCGTCTTCCGCCGACCCGTCGCTGTTTGTTCGTCGTGGGCGCACACCTTTCTTTGTTCTTGTCTACGTTGACGACCTGGTTTTTGCCACAGCCGACACAGTCGCACTGGCGGAGGTGAAGTCCGAACTGCAGAAGAGACACACCTGCACTGACCTTGGGGAACTGCGCCGCTACCTTGGCCTGCAGATCTCCAGGGACAGAGCCGCTCGCACCATCACTCTGACTTAGTCACACATGGTGCAGCAGGTCCTTCAGCGGTTCGGGCTTCAGCACTCCTCTCCTCCTCCCACCCCTCTTGCTGTAGACCACAGACTCACTGGGCCTTTTCCTGACGAGCCGTTCGAGCCCAGTGGTCCCTACGCAGAGTTGGTGGGCTGCCTCATGTACCTGATGACGTGCACTCGCCCGGACCTCGCCTTCCCTCTTGGAATCCTTTCTCGCTTTGTTGCGACAGGGAGACACCGTCCTGTTCACTGGGCGGCGGCTAAGAGGGTGGCGAAGTACCTCGGCGCGACATCAGACATGGGGCTTGTACTTGGAGGGACACAGCCAGTTGTACTCACCGGTCACTGCGACTCCTCCTACGCCGACGACGTTGAGTCACAGAGGTCTACACAGGGTTACTGTTTCAGCCTGGGCTCTGGAGCTGTTTCGTGGAGGTCTACTCGGTCCTCCTCTGTTGCGACTTCTACCGCAGAGGCCGAGATCTACGCTGGAGCCCTCGCTGCACAGGAGCTACGCTGGTTGACCTTCTTGCTCACTGACCTTGGTGAGCGGCCGAGCTCTGCACCGACCTTGTTTGCTGACAACAAGGCGATGATTCTCCTGTGTCGTGAGCCTCGACTGGAGAGCAGGGTGAAGCATATCGACGTCAGGTACTTCCTCCTTCGAGAGTTGCAGAGACGTGGACAGGCACGTCTGGACTTCGTGGCCTCCGAGGCCAACACTGCAGACATCTTCACCAAGGCTCTTCAGCCTTGTGACCACCGCCGGTTTTGTCTGCAGTTAGGCCTTGTTGAGACTGGGTCTAGTAGACTGCAGTAGTGAGTTCTTGCCTCTTGCTTGTTTGTACCATATATATATTAGCTTGTACACTCTTGAACTGGCCTTGTGGCCCCTTGTTTGTGCTCAGAATGTGTGGTGACGTTGAGATCCACCCTGAGCTTTGTTTTCTCGCTTGCTTGTGACTGGTCTTGTGACCTTAGGTTGTGTTCTGTTACTTGGCATTCCCCACTTAGGCTATGGGGGTGTGTCAAATGTTATAGCCCTTAGTGGGTCATACTATATGGGGTACAAACAGATAGGGTTAGGTACTTGTACCCCAACTCAATCAATGCAATTCATTCCGCTGTTCTCAGTTACTAAGAGCGATCACCGAGGGCAAGTGAGGAGGAGGAGGAATTGTGAAGGGAGAGAAGATGGGAGACGACGGCTGAAGCTGCAGACATACGGGCAACAGGAGGACTGGCACAGTGGCTACCGAGCGCACAAGGGCACCGGACTACGGGAGTATCTGGCTCCGCGGCTACGACGAGCGGCAGGAGCAACGGACCCACAGGCGACTGGCACAGCAAGGCTCTCTGGGCTACCGAGAGCGCGACGGCTCCGGACTACAGGCGCTGCAGACGACACGACGGCGGCCTCCGCTCAACCTCCCCCAACAGTCCCACCTCCTTTCCACACACCCCCTGCTGCACCCCTAGCTCCACTCCCACGTCACCCCCCTTAAACCCTAAACCCTCGGCTCCCACACACCCACCCCCCTCAGCGGCAGCTGCAGCAGTGGGAGACGGAGGAGGAGGAGGAGGAGCTGCAGGTTACCCACACCGGTCACCCCCATGCCCGCCACCCCCAAACCCTAACGCAGGCAGGAGCGCGGGAAACAGCAGGGGCGGGGCACGGAGGGAAAGGGAGGCGGCGGGGTGGCTCCTGGGCGCCACGAAGAAGCAGGGCGCGGGCCCCCCGAGGGCGCCACGGCGGGTGACGGGAGGGGGGCCGCGCACGGGCCCCCGAGGGCGGCTCGACGGGCGACGGGAGGGGCCGCGCGCGGGCCCCCTAGGCGCCGCGACGAGGCGACGGGAGGGGGCGGCGCGCGGGCCCCCAAGGTGCCGCGACGAGGCGACGGGAGGGGGGGGACGCGCGGGCCCCCAGGGCGCCGCGACGAGGCGACGGGAGGGGGGGGACGCGCGGGCCCCCAGGGCGCCGCGACGAGGCGACGGGAGGAGGACGACGGGGGGCAGCGCGCAGGTCCCCGGGGGCGCCACGACGGGCAGGAAACCGCCGCGCGCCTCGGGGCACACGGCGGGCAGAAAACCGCCGTACGCCCTGAGCGCACGGCAGGAAGAAGACGGCGCGCGCCCGAGGCGCGCGAGAAGCAGAACAGCAGCGGAAGCAGTTAGGTGGCGGGCCCACCCACAGGATCGACCCAAGGGGGTCGACCTGCTCTGATAGCATGTCAGAATGAGAGAAGTAGGAAGAAACGAGAATGAAGAAAGGAGGGTTTTCACTAGCAGCAGTTGGGGTACATATAGCAAACCCTAACTGGGTTGTACTCGCTATAGAGCACCCCACTACAGGCTAGATAATAACATTCTGACAAAATATGCATCAGAAATAATAGATTCAAATGGTGCGTAGGGAGAGATATCATCCTGCAATATGCATGCTAAGAATCTGAGAGATGCCTTCTGGGAGAGGGTTTTGGAAAGATGAGCGCATTTTTACATTTGCATTCCAATACCCCTGACTCTCCCCAAACTCCTCTCATACCCCCCTCGTTCCAGGCATGTCCCCCTCATACCCCTCCCTCCTTTCATACCCCCCACTTCACTCATAACCCCCTGTTCCTCTCATATTCTCCCCACCTCTCATAGCTGTCACTCAACTCTACCCCTCACTCCTCTCATATCGCCCACCCCACTCCTCTCATACCTCCTACTTTTCTCACTCATGTGATTCCAAGTTTTTCAGAATAACTAGGCAAGAATGATTGAAAGGAGAGAGGGGTTTGAACTAGCAGGCAGTTGAGTACAAATAGCAAACCCTAGATTGGGCTGTACTCACTATAGAGTACCCCACTGCAGGCTAGACAATAATAGCATTCTGACACACCCCCATAGCCAAAGTGGGGTGTAATCAGCAGAGCAAGCAAAGCAGTACAAGCTCAGGGTGGATCACAATGTCACCACACATTCTGAGCACAAGTTCAAGAAGCAATAGTTTAAAGTTCACAGTTATGAGCAAAGCTAGAGGCAGTCACAGAGGGCAAGCGAGGAGGAGGAGGGCTGGCGAGAGGAGAGAAGATGAAAGGCGCCGACTGAAGCTGCAGACACACGGGCAACAGGAGCGGCGCGCACAGTGGCTACCGAGCGCACGAGGGCACCGGACTACGGGAGTATCTGGCTCCGCGGCTACGACGAGCACACACAGGAGCAACGGACCCACAGGCGACTGGCGAAGCAGGCTCGCTGGGCTACCGAAACGCGCGAGGGCATCCGGACTACTGGCGCTGCTGGCGTCACGACGGCTACCTCCACGCAATCTCCCCCGACCGTCCCACGCCCCTCTCACACACCCCCTGCTGACACCCTAGCTCCACTCCGACGGTACCCCCCTTAAACCCCAAACCCTAGGCTCCCACACACCACCCCCCTCAGCGGCAGCTGTAGCAGAGGGAGACGAGGGAGGAGGAGGAGCAGGGGGAGGAACTCACAACCGACACCCCCATAGCCGCCACCCCCACACTCTTCACCCCCAAACCCTAATTTAGGAGAACGGGCTGTAGGAGGGGTGAGGCGCCGGTAGAAGCACGGGGGACAGTGGAGAGGGCAGGAGCAGCGAGGAACGGGCCGCCCACGGGCCTGGTAGAGCCGCCCGAACCGCGCGCAGGCGGCCCGAGCCGCGCGCGGGCCTGGCGCTTCCCGTACGGGCCGCGCGCGTGCCTGGCGCAGCCCGTACGGGCCGCGCGCGGGCCTGGCGCAGCCCGTACGGGCCGCGCGCAGGCCTGGCGCAGCCCGTACGGGCCGCGTGCCGGGTGTACGGGCCGCGCGCAGGCCACGACGGGCGACGGGGGGCGACGCGCGGGTCCCCGTCGCCCGTCGCAGCGCCTCCCGGGGGCGACGTGCCGAGTGACGGGGCAGGAACCCGCCGCGCGCCTCGGGGCACACGGCGGGCAGAGAACCGCCGCACGCCTCGGGGCGCACGGCGGGCAGAAAACCGCCGCGTGCCTCGGGGCGCACGGCGGGCTGAAAACCCTAGTTTCGACGCCGCGCGCCACGGGGCGCGCGGCGGACAGGGAGTAGCAGTAGCAGTAGCAGTAGCAGCGGAAGGCTTAGGTGGTGGGCCCACCCACAGGATCGACCCAGGAGGGTCGACCTGCTCTGATAGCATGTCAGAATAACTAGGCAAGAATGATTGAAAGGAGAGAGGGGTTTGAACTAGCAGGCAGTTGAGTACAAATAGCAAACCCTAGATTGGGCTGTACTCACTATAGAGTACCCCACTGCAGGCTAGACAATAATAGCATTCTGACAAAGTTGTCTATGTTTCTTAATCCTGCTTTCCCCCCCTGCACTCCTGCTTTCAGGGCCCGTGCTAGGATTTGGGGCACCCTGAGCCCTCAGGGCACTTTTCTAGAATCTTAAAAAATGCCCTGATTTGTCAGGGCAAATTTTCAAAGCCTTCATGTATGTTCAGGGCTTTTGCAGAAACTAATCCTGACCTGTCAGGGCAAAAAAAATAGTGTTCAGGGTTCAGATTTTAGCGGGAGAGAAGGGAGGGTAATGGGGAGTGAAGGGTAGGTGGGTTTAAGGAGGGAGGAGTTGCATCGACTGTTTTTGCGGGCCGTTGCTGTCCGTCCACGAGGAGACTATGGCGCAGAGCACCGTCACGTCTGGAGCGTTGCGGGGGATCGGAACACAACTGTCAAAGAGAAGAGATCGTGCTAAGGCGGGAAACATACACGGGGAAAATTTTCAACGGAGACAAAAATCCCCGGGGAAAAAATTTCCTCTGAAATGGGAACCCCCCCCCACTCCCCCTCCCCCCTCAAAAAACGCGTCAGGGCAGGCCTCGACATTCATCCTGACGCTACAGGGAAGAACACTACGGCCATCCTGAATGTTCATGTCGTTTCAGATAAAAACATCCTGAGACCTTAGGGTAAAAATTGAAACTATTCTGAAATGACAGGGTAAATTCAAAACAGCATCCTGAATTCAGGGTAATCA